TAGTTATGCATTGATGATGATTTGCAATTTGTAAATCACATGCATTTTGCTAATCAAAATTTATGCAGTCAACCTGTATTTTCTTTATCATATTAAATTTCACCATTATGTGGGTTATGGTATGCTGGTACAGTTTGGATTTTTTTATTCAATGTTTTTATTTGTCGTTTTTAGCACTTGCTTTTGGTAGTGAGTGCATGTTTGTATTGTAGATCCTTCTACTGTTTCACATCCAGGTTTATATTTGATTTTCTGGGAAATTTTCTCGTTTCTTGGTTTTAGCTTTAAAGATCTAATTGCTTTACTGCAGGGCAAAAAGGTCAAAGTGCCAACATTTCTTGTGCCTGCTACCCAAAAGGTTTGTCATGCTACAGAATTAAGTGCTTAGGCGACAACGTCTGTAGTATAAATTTATGAAGGAATCTATGAAATACATCATGATAAAATCTTATATTTTGCATATGCTAAAATCTGTAGGTTTGGATGGACGTGTATGGTCTTCCAGTACCAGGATCTGGTGGCAAGACTTGCTCACAGATATTTGAGGAAGCTGGATGTGACACACCTGCAAGTCCCAGTTGCGGTGCTTGCTTAGGTGGTCCTAAAGACACCTATGCTCGCTTGAATGAACCTAAGGCAAGTCTATTCCTTAACCTGCAACACATTCGCAATGGTCATGCCCTCATGTTCAAGGAAAAATGAATTTGGATTAAGCAACTCTAAAAAACATGTTTTTGGATATTGGAACATCCACTTCTCAGTGCTACTAGCCTACTATTATTGGGTGCCACTTTATATGAACAAGGAAAATATCTTCGTTTTGATAACTATTTTTTTCTTTATTTCTGTGGTACATTATACCATTTTGTCTTTGCAGGTATGTGTCTCAACAACAAACAGGAACTTCCCCGGCCGAATGGGCCACAAGGAAGGCGAGATATATCTTGCTTCCCCCTACACGGCTGCTGCATCTGCTTTGACTGGTTATGTCACCGACCCGAGAGAGTTTTTGCAGTAGGCAATTGATATCATCATAAATTTGATCAGTGTGTTTGCTTTGTATTCTTGCCACTATAAGTTATCAGATAGCGGAGATTAAGGAATAATGGGAAACCATTCCCAAAGGTTTTGTATGCTGTGATTAGGTCAGTGCCATATGTATTTATGTGTGTAATTGTTAGTAAGAATGCTAGAATGTTTTATGACCAGAAAATAAAGGGTGTCTCAGTGAACATCACTGGACAACTTTTGGTGACCTCTGCTTGCATGAAATTTGTTCTAATTTGACCTTATCCTGATTTTAGAAGTCATGTTTAAGTTGTACGGAAAATGCTCACATACAAGGAATGTATACAACATCCATCTCACATCCATCCCTTGTGTGCTGGTTGGACCAGTTATTGTAAGAGAGGCATTTTAATAGAAGTGCAAGATACAACATAATAGTGGAAGTTTCTCCATTCGAAAACCGAAATCGTGTGGCTTTTGTTTCTTCCTTCAAGTTCGTAACAGGTTGAGTGTGATTGCGGGTTCAACCCTTCTTAATAAGCAATTTGCTATTTCTCCGTGCTGTAACATAAAAATTGCAAAACCAGATCCAATGTGGGGGTTTTCTGCCCGTGGGGATTTCCGATTTCTTAGTTGGTTTAGCTGGAAAACCCTAATTTTTCAGCTAAAATCAATGATTATGAGGCTTGGCTTAAAAGCTTATCTGCACTTCAATAATACAGGTTAAACTTGAACCATGGACCTCTGTTTTCTAAATGGGTCATGCTAGGGAGACCAACTTGGGATACCAACTTGTGTACCAACTCTCTAATAGAGGTGGAGCCCACCAATACAAGGGGTCTCACGCTCTATTAGAGAGTTGGTACACAAGTTGGTATCCCAAGTTGGTCTCCCTAGCATTTTCCTTTCTAAATTAGGAGAAATAACACTTAACTTTAAAGCTTATTGCAGCATTTAATCTATTTGTTTCAACATTAAATGTTTTCATTCAAATTCAGAGGATAGAAATTTTGGTTTAAACAAACTCTTTTGTGCCTTTTGCTGTTGAGCATCGAAGTTGGTGTCTCAGCTGTCATAAAAGAATGCTACACTTTATTTTTGTGGTCTGCATTATATACTTGCACTGGTTTAAGAGTTTTCAGACAATGTCCACAATTTTCTCCAGCAAAACAAAAAGAAACCTGAAAAATAGAACTCCAACTTGGGTAACCCCCATCACTTTTGACATATATATTGCTTATAACTTGGAAAAGGGATTGTCGTTGCAGGTCTGTGTCTCAACAACAGACAGACAGCAACTTCAAATACCAGGTCGAATCTTGCTTCTCCATATACTTCAGAGGACTTGGAAAGCATCATAAATCTGAACTTTGGTTGCATATGCTTTTCATTACTCAAAGAGTTAGCCTCTATGTGTTAATAAAGTGGGGATTCAAACCCAAGACTTGTGGTGTGCAAATCAAGGCAAGGCCATTTTTTACTGGGTTAGATCCCATTGGCTTTGTGTTGTTTTCTTTTATTAAAACTATTTATCTTGAACTTGTTTTTACTAGATCAAAACATTTATTCTCTCATTGATTTTTGAAATGCACCAAACAAACACCATTGTTATTATTTCTATTTTCAGTGACTTTTATGCATCATGGTGAAGATCACTTCCTGCATAATAAATGTACATTACTTTGGGGAGGGTCTGTTGACGCTCGGCATACACCGAGCCCATCTGCCTAATAAAAGCATGACACGTGGGCCTCGTACGATGCACCAGAGTAAACTATCCTTCCTCGGCCTCGGCCTCTGAGTTGTCCTAGGAAGATCAAAAGGATATAAACCAGACACGTCGATGACAAGACCCCCTCTGACCGCCGATCCGCTGCGCCTCACGAAGCGTGCCCACGTCCCTTCCAAAGCCAGGTGTAAACCGTCCGGGTCTCCACCCCACCAGATGGGATTGCCACCGTGTGCAACAGGCTATTCTGCCCACGCCTGCCCCCTTGTAAAAATGTAAGGAGGACGTCATGAGCGGAGGACGTGGACAAACCCCGATCAACCATCCTCTAAGATCTGATGTGACATAAACGGCTCGGCTCCGAGCCGAGGTGGTTGGCTTGTAATTTAATTCATTTTTTATTTTCCCTATAAATAGAGTAGGAGTTCTTGTAAAAATGGGACATGACTTTGAGATCTGCCAGAGAATAGGAATAAGAAGAAAAACCTTGTTATGTTGTCGTATAAAATCTCTTTTCTCCAAAGTCCCTTTTTTCCTTGGAGACCTCTTTGATATAATCGTATTACCTTCATGTTAACCATTTGAATATCTGTGGTTGAAACAGGGTCCTTAGGAAAATACCAAGTTTAAAACATCTCTCGCTAATATAATTGAAAAAAAATTAAGAACATGTTATAAAAGTTTAAAAGTTTTTTTAAATTTTTTTTGCCTAATTCCACAACACAGTAATCAATTAGCAGAACACATGCCAAAATGTCTGCACAAATGAATCCAAAAACCAAACAATTGTCACAATCAAACAGAAGTCTCTCAGCCATAATCAATATACCAAACCCCACCACAAACTCTTGCTGGGTCATAGTCTTGGTCTAAAATTGGCCACTGTGTGCCTTGTATGTCATTAAAGCTCATCACTTGTGACTGTCTTTTTCTTCCACCCATTAAGGGCTTCCTAGGATCACTTTACAGTGCAACCCAGAAAGGGGAAATGGTAATAACTTAAAGCTTTCCAGCTGTTGGGTTCCAATTCAATTATAAGTGTTTTTCTTGAGGCTGCATGCTCAGCAAGTTTTGGTGAAAGTGAAGATGAGCTTTAAATTCAGACCCAAACAAAAAATAAAAATTCAAGAAGAGCTTTAATGATGGCTTAGTCATTCAATTACTGTTCAAATTTAGAAAAGGTTGAAATTGGCAGAGTCAATTAGCCATTTTCAGTTGTAACTTTCTGCCAATGAAGTCTTTATGTTTTTCCTTCATCAAAGATATGGAATGGAAACCAGCAAGAAAAAGCATGCAAGTCAGATCAGAAAGTTGAACAGAGACTAGCATGACTGTGAGCATTAATAAGATACAGTTGTCCCACAAATTAATTAAAAGAAGGTAATTATGGTAGAGTAGGACCACCACTGTCCAGTATCCATCAACTCATTGGGTAGTAATCTGCGGTAAAAAACTAAATGATTACATAATTTTTACCCTCTACAAAGAACAACTTTGTTGAGAAAAATACAGAACAAAACAAAAGGCCCTGATGCCAATCAATTAAAGTGTTGAGGTTTATCTAGAGAAATTTTGTTTCCGACCCTGATGCCAATCAATAAAAGTTTGGAGGTTTATCTAGAGAAATTTTGTTTCCGATGATAACACCACGTGACATGACACGATAACACCACATGACATGACAGTATACTCCAATTATAACAAGACATGACAGTGTACACCAATTATAACAAGTTTAGTGCATCTTCACCACTTGGGACTAGGAGAATTGTTTAGTTATAAACTTATTACCAATTGTACAAGTCTTGAGAGTTTCTGCCAAGTAATATCTGATTTTACCATCATCATGTTAGATAAAAATTTCATAGCAGAGTCACAAAAAGGTATGGAGACACACAAGCTTTAATCCAATTGACTAAGGTAAGAGCAGAAAGAGCAACCGAAGAAATCACAGACCATCAAAATGATGACAATTTCTTCTACAGGCTAGAGCTCTTAGGATTATGACAGTTTTGACCCAAAATAAAAAATTATTATGACACTCAGAAGATTGGGGTCCCCTCCATTGTTGTCAGTCGTACCAGTTAGCAAGAGCAGGCAATCGTTGTGAATACAAAACCACAGCTACCACCAATAGAAAATGCATACATATTTTCAGAATTGAGTAATTATGCTACCAATTTAGTATAATTGTTGTACCATGATTCAAAAGTCAAGTTAAAACTTGAGGCTGAAGTACAAATAAATAAATAAATTGCTAATCAACACAACCAAAATAATTAATAAATAACAAAAACCATACAAGCTTTTCTTCTATCACCAAGAAAAACGAGTCCACTAGATTGAAGCAAACTCAACACTCTAGATATGAAGTGCTCCCATATTTACAGTATGAGAAAGCAGCATATGTAGCCGAGTATGCAGGCCTGTATGCTAGCACTATGTAAGAGGCTGTAAAACCTAAAAAACAATATGGCCTACCAGAAGAAAAAAAAAAAAAAAAAAAAAAACCAGCAAGAACCAGAGAATGGTTTTGAAAGAAAAGCAAGCAAAGCCCAGTGGAAGCCGATCTTCACACTCTGTCTCATCAAATTTCTACTTCCTTCTGTTGTCAAACTGTAGGTTTCCTTCATCTTACCAGACTTAAAAATAATCGGGCAGCAGCACCTATTCTAGATAGGTTTGTTTCTTTGTCTCTCACTGCTTTCTTGAAATCTTGGAGCTGTAAATAAATGATTAATCGGGATTAGACAAGAGGTCCTCATAATCTCGTATGAATGCAATAAACTAACAAACTGATATCGGAAAGCTATATACAGGCTTGAAGATATTAAATGCATACCAAGTCCATTAGCCTCAGAGGTCCTCATGATACGAAGCCTTTTCACTGAGCTGATGAACATCCTATATACCATAAAAATAGCAAACATACTGTCAGCATTATTTACTAGAAAGTAACAGACAAAGGAAACTCCGGGAATGTCAAATTAGATGTTACTATGTACATTGCTCTCTTTATTTTTTTAGGTTCACCATCCCATTTTCTTTTTAACAAAACTAATAATTAGAGGTAGAAGCATACCCCCAAGGAACATCTCCTACAAGCATCCAATCTCCTTCTTTATCTTCATAAGTGAGTACAAACTCAGAGGATCCATCCAGAAGCTTAGAGGGTTTTGTTGCTTGTTCCTTGTCTCCACCTGACATGAGCACAAAACCATTGTCATACAATCGTAGTAACATCACATACACAGTGCATCAAAACTGACCAATTGATGATCATAACATGAACCAAAACAAAGAGCCTCCATTCTTTTGAGTTAAAGTACTCGTTTCAATTGTGCCAAAGGTACCAAAGGCAAAGAAAGAGAACAAACCAATAGCTGTAGTGGGGCTGAAAAACATGTCCTCCAGTGTTTGAGCTAATGTCTCATAGCAAGAGTGAGCATTCATATCCACTTTCCTCCCTATAGGAATTCCATCCATGTTCACCTTCACAAATCCGAGACGCCCTTTCTCTTTAGCACTTGTCTTATTACCCATGTTAATCTTCTTCTTAGAAGTGTCCTTAGATTTTTCCCCATCTTCCTTGTCATCTTCAGCCCTTGCAGTCTTTGCTTGGTTAACCAAGCTATTCAACCTTGCAGCACTAATAGGTGGCCATCCCACAACTTGACTGTTTTCATAACACAAAATACAACAATCAATGATCCAAAATACAAAACCAGAGATACAGAGCATTCATAACCTTAATTGTCAGAATAAACAATACATTCTCTGTTTTTTTTCCATAATTTTTTTATAAAATACATAGCGGGCATTCAACAGTGTATAATACTACAATTCAATGGCGTATAAAACACATTAAATTTAAATAAAATATTTAGGACTAGATAAAGAGAGTGAAAGATTATAGTTCTTTTTTCTATAATTCAATAGTCATAAACAGATTAAAAACTAGATGCAATATGAAAAAGATTACAGACTGATAATAATAGACCAATATTAATCAAGAAAAAAGAAAATAAATATATGAAACAGAAAATTGTTATTAAAAAAAATTCTTTTAAATTTTTCTTAAGAGGGCATAAAATAAGCCAAGCGAACACAGCTACTTGGTTTTTCTTAAGTTTTCTATTTTCCTGGACTGGACACAAAAACAAGAAGAGAATGTGCAATTTCTCAGTTTTCTCAGCAGTCAAACACAAGAACATAAGAGTAAAAATTTATACTTTTTTATGAATAAATATATATATATATAAAAGAGCTTACTTTCCATGAATAGCCTCACCTTACAGCAGTGGGAGAGCCACCCTCTTGAGAAACAGAGTCAGCAGCTCTCTTAGTCCCAGAAACAGCAACAGCAGAAGAAGCATTGGGTCTGTGAGAGAACCTAGAAGAAGGAACTGCAGAGCCCACCATGGAAGGGAAGTCTTTAGCAGTCAAGATTCTACCACGCTCACCCCATGCACATGGCTTTGGCTGCTTCCCTGCACCACCACCTCCACCACCACCAAGGCTCAGGCCCAGCTCAAGCTCTGCCTCAGCTGGGTATGAGGTTACCTCAGATGACATCCCCACATAGTCTTGCTCCACCACCTCCACCTTTGACATTGCTGACTCATTTGATGAGCCCCCGGAAGACCCACCACCACCACCACCGAGTAGCCCAAGTGTGCCTTCCATGAATTGATCAAGAAAGAGACAGGAGAAAAGGTTGAAGATTTTGAAGAGGTCAAAGAAATTAAGGTTGAAGAAATTGTGGGTTTGAGAGAGAAAAGATTGGGAGTTTGAGAGTTGTGGGAGTTTGTTTGTTTGTTTGTTTGTTTGAGAGTTGTGTATAATAGATGGACCACAAAGGAAGAAGGGGAAGAATGCAAAGGCAAAAGCAGAGCAAAGAGGGAAGGAAGGGAGGGGTAGGTTGGAGAGGTGGTGGAGAGAGTGATGATGATGGGGCCCATATGTCTGCTAGTGCGCCTTGCACTCTCACCACCCACCCTCATTTTTCCTTGACATGATTCATATCTTTCAAGAATCTGTTTCTCTCTGTTGGGTCTCGGTGTTGTCCTAAAAGAAACAAAATTGATTGTTTTCTAATTTGGCTTTTTTATTTATTTTATGAAGAGCCAACCAGTCTAGTCTATTAAAAAAAACTCTGATTTACAGATCAGTAATTTCATGTTCGAACCCATGATACTTTAGTAATGTGTGTGAGGAAACCCTCTTTCTCCGGCCTTACTTTGGTGTTTTTTTTTTTAAAAGGAAAATACTTTCCTCCTTATCAGATAAGTACAAGCTCAGTGTGACATGTATGCAAAAAAAATTTCTTTTTGTGTTTTTGATGAATTATTTTTGCATATTTATCAAATCGTGATTCGTATGAAGGAGGAATATAAAGAGGCAAGTAGTATAAAAAAAAAAAATTATAAAGACTACCTTTTTTATAATAAAAAAAGTATAGATAGAGAGAATCATATTATAAAATTTTATGTTGAAGCATATACAAATTGGAGCTGCTAGGTTGCTGTGTTCCTCTAATTACAAAGATTATCTTTAGCTTTTATGGTCATTTGTGCGGGCATGATAAGGTTTAGAAGAAAGAATTAATGGGAATAATTAAAATAATAGTGTGGTGGTATGATGAAAGGTTGGAAATGATACAAGTTCCTAGCTAGTATGATGGTATTTTTAACTTTTTGGTCTTGGTATGATGGTTAATGATAATATTAAACTTTGGCTTGTCGGGCCTTTTAATTTGGACAATCAGGAAAATGGGGATTCTACTTGCATATACTGAAAATTTATGCAGGTAACAGTGCTACTTCTTGGGATGTCAATTGCTTTTACTGATTAAGTATTATTATAGGCAGCATAGGTCTCATAAGTAGGAGCCCCCTTTTTTTTTAAATCTAATCAAACAAATTATTTACTTAATTTTCTTTTTCGTTCTTCATTCTGCAATCTAAGTTTAATAACTTTTAATTTTAAATAATGCAGATAGAACGTAAGATGACAAATTAAAAATGAGAATAACACTTTTCTTCTCTTTTCTCGTTAATTTTAGGTTGTATGGTTGTTAACGCGGTATTTCTTTTCTCGTTGAGAAAATGCAGTTTGAGTAAGAAAGTAAGATTGAGAAATACCATTCTCAGAGTGTCTGTTTAGGTAATGAGCAAAGATTCAAATCTGTGGTTAGCAAATACCACTTCTTTTTAATTGAAATTGCTACATAATCCTAGACCTAAATTACAATTATTCTGCTCAAACTAAGGAGTAGAGATCACTATTAATTTGAGATTAGGTGTCTCTTAGCTTTGCTTAAAGTATAAAAAGCAAAGGTTAAAAACTAAAGGTTGAGTCTTTTTACAAGCAAAAAGCATTATTCTGTTCTTATTTCTCCTTATGTGCTGTCTACTATTGGGAAGACAAAGGGCACAAAACCTTGTTTTAGAAAGTTGAGACCTAAAGAGAGATGCACTGACAGTGGATGGTGGGCCCTCACAGTAAAGCTGAGAAAAATAACAAGAAAGGGAAAGCATATTTATTATTATAATAGAACAAACTTAATTATCATTAAAAATTATGGAATTAGGGGACCACTTCTCAAGAATTTGTTTTTCGTAGAGATGGTCTAATCAATTGATTGTTTAGGAAAGAAAGGTACAAATAAGTCAATGTTGCAATATATAGTTTGCCCCTATGTCTAATTTTATTACAATTAACTAACAATTGTTGGGTTACTTACTACTTGCACTGTAAAAAGTTAAAAATCAAGTTTATTTACCATCTAAATAACCTTTCTGGCTTATTCATTATATATTATTTTATTCTTGAATAAGTATTTTATGTTAATGATTGGTTACATACTTCTAATCTTTGTCGTTGAATTGCATTCATTAAATGTGTTTGTAGTCTATTTGTTCGTTATGGTTTATTGACTCTCCTTCCAATTTTTTCTTCTATATTAGTATTTTTTTCAGGAAGAGTGAGATCTGAAATTGGTTTCAATTTCTTATGGAGTTCATAGTAAACACTTCCAGGAGCAAAAATGAAAAGAATATGCTCTTAAATTTAGTTCATTAAATGTGTTTGTAGTCTATTTGTTCGTTATGGTGTATTGACTCTCCTTCCAATTTTTTCTTCTATATTAGTATTTTTTCAGGAAGAGTGAGATCTGAAATTGGTTTCAATTTCTTATGGAGTTCATAGTAAACACTTCCAGGAGCAAAAATGAAAAGAATATGCTCTTAAATTTAGAGAGGTGTGCACAAGACAATTAAACACATATGCGCTCGTGGATTTAAAACTCCAACACTTGTGAGAAATCAATATTTATATAAGATTTTCCAAGAAAAAATGTTTGTCTTATGTGAAAATGGAGGAGTTTTTTTTTTTCCATGCATGACAAAAATTCTCCTATACTTGTTTCGACTGTAACAATTTCGGTAATAGGAAGGAATAACATATTCCAATTTTAAATTGTAGCATTCTATTATAGAATGTCATTATGTTGTGTTAACATCTTGAAGGATTAAATATTGTTTGTTTTTTTTTTATAACAAAAGAATACTTCACTTACTACAAGAAAAGGTAACAATACTCACAAGAAGTTTTTTTTGGTTTCTTTTCAGAAATTCAGAAATTGCATTCATAAAAAGAAAAAGTACTAATTATAAAGGATCATTATAATTATGAAGAAATCTAACATCAACATTAAAACAATCTAGTGCGCCTCCTCCACTAACGATCACGCATGATCGAAGGAACTTCGACATAGGCATCCTAACTAAGATTGCAAACTCATAATAATAAAAAAACAAATAAAGCTTGAAAAAACAAAGCCATAACAATAAAAATAAAAATCTCACAAAAGAAAGTGAAAAACTCTCTTAAAGGAGAGGTGAAAACTACACCCAAAAAAACCCCAAAAGACTTTATGCAACTTATTCCAAAAATAAAGAAACTAAATCAGCCGAATTGCAACCTCCGTTGTCACAAAGCCAACCCAATGTCTGAAAGCACCAAGAGAGAAAAGATCTGCACCAATCAACTTTCCTCCTTGGCAAATAGAGAAAATACACCGAAAAAGGATAGATCTGCATATATCTATTGTAAAATTACGTCATAAATGAACTAACGAAACAAAGAGGGAGACGATGCGGGAGAGGAAAGCAAAGAGAATGGGAAGGGGAGGATGTGGAAAGGGAAGGAAAAAGAGAGGAAGAAAGGACAAAAAGCATGGGGGTGGTGGCTAGGGGTTCTCTCTTAGGTTTCTCTCTCTCTCTCTCTATGAATTCAATTAACTCACAACAAGGTTTATTAGGAGATGTTTTCATTTGGTTGGAATAAGTCTCTCATTTCGACTCATGTGAATGCAAAGACAATGCAATTTTGTAATGGGTTCGACACATAATTATGGTTATCTCATTGGTGGTGTAGTTTTTTTGGGTGATAAATCCGTAATAGCATATATTCTTTATCAATACCATAAATGACAATTTAACTGATTATGGTCATGGTCATGGGTTTCATATTGATCAAATTAACAGAGAAGCCACATTTAGTTTATGTAGTTGGCCGGTTTTACTACTTTAATATTTGTAGTTTCAATTTTATCCCTACAGTTTTAAATTTGAGCAATTCATGTTAGACGTGTAGATGTCAAACTCATTAAAGTGTGGTCTTATAATCATCAAAGGATTCTAAGACTTGATATCAATTAGGAGTTCAAACACAACTAGACCTGCAGCTCTATTAAAGTTAGTGTTTTAAGTCTAATATAAGAGCTAGAAGGATTCCTATCTTAATTGTGGATTAAAAGTTATAAACCTAATGCAATAAGGACTTCTTAAGAGTTCCTTGATGGGCAAGACTCTTAGGAAGATGCATATAAATACAAGTGCCCCTGCTCAACCGATAAAGCCAACCACACAAAAGAATTCACCCCATCTAGAATGAGTGTATGAAGGGATCGGATTGAGGAGATGTGCTCTTGTATATTCTTGATGTGTGTTCTATCATGTGTAGTCATTAATAGTTTACATGTGGTATCAGAGCCCAGGCTACACATTTTAGAACCAAAAGAAATCGCCCACCTTTTCTGCCGCAACAATTGGGTGATAAACTATCTCCTAGATCCATTTCCCCATATGTATCCCCAACCGAACTTGTTTCTTGCTCATGTCGATAGCCAGATACAAAAGCATGGATCAAGAATGGTGTATGACCTTGGATCAATTCCCTTCCACTACTTCCTGACTAAGTCTCCACATTTGATTTTGGGGTATGATGTTTTTTTATTGAGTTAGTTGCATAAATTTTCGCTGCTTTTGAGTGAACTATAAACCATGACATGCTTTCAAGTTTTATATTTCAGTTTTAATGGCTATGATTGAATTAACTAAAGTTTTCTGAAAGAATGGGCAAACTGCTGTTGTTATCATATTGTTGTGACATGTTTTTAAAGAAATTGCTAAAGAAAGACAAGCATAAATTTATGTTGCAATTAATAAGGACTAGTGAATCAGTTTTATCCTACATAATTGACAAGTTTTATGAACAAAAACCTGTGCCATATTTCAATCCAAAGCTGTGATTTTTTCTCTTATCAATTTGGTATTTTGCTTTTTGCCATGACTAAAGTTATTGTTAATTGAATATCATTATGTTTTGCGGATAGTTTTTCAGAAGCATAAAGAATACATGTGTACATATTCAAAGCTTAGGGCAATTATCTTCTTTAAGCATGACAGAGAATTAAATGTCGCAACACAATAAATAAAATATTTACGACTGAAGCCCATATGACCTTATAAAATAATGCAACTCACACCATGGTAGTATTCAAATTGTAGTTGTCTAGCACTCTTAACCAAGGGACACTAAGTAAGAGGCTACATACATAGTTAACTTCTTTAAAAACATGCGTAATCCAAACATTAATTTTTTTTTTAAAGTGGAATACCAAT